TCAGTTTGGATATTCACACATTCAGGAATTTTGGGAGAGTTGACACATATCCTCTGGACTTTGGGGGTGCTCATAAAGCCAGAGGCTGGCAGTGCTTCCTGAATGAAAAACTGTGAAAAGGGGAGGCCTGATGAAACAGCCTGTTGCGGATAAGCAGGCCCCAAAGGGAGAGGATGAGGTCTTTCCCTTAGCCTGAGGGCAGAAAGAGTGCATCAAGGGCCCCTGTCTCCTTAGGAAGGAGCATACGGTGGAGGAGTTGTGGATACCTAGGGCTGCCCAGGTGGTACCCAGCAAAGAGACACTTCTCCCAGAAAGAGGCTGGAGAACAGCGGCTGGCAGAGGCTGAGGGGAGACCTGACTGCCTTTGTCTGAGGGGTGACCTTGGGAGTAGAAAGGGTCCACATAAAGTCATGTAGCATTCAAAATAATAGCAATCACCATCTCAGCAGAGTCCACCGCCCCTGTGGGGGCCTCCAGCTGCAGAACCCAGCCCGAGGGAGTCCTCCCAGGAGGCCAGCCAAGGAGGAGGGTCAGAGTCTCTTCTCTGTATGAATGTGGACAGTGCAGAACTAGGCTGGGAAGGGCACCCGGCTGAGGTGGGGAGCAGGGAGAATCCTGGAACATAGATTTCCAGCTCTCTGAGAGGAAGAGTCTTTTTTTTCTTTTTCTTTTTCTTTTCTTTTCTTTCTTTTCTTTTTTTTTTTTTTTTTTTTTTTTTGAGACAGTCTTGCCCTGTCACTCAGGCTGGAGTGCAGAGGTTGCAGTTAGCTAAGATTGTGCCACTGCACTCTAGCCTGGGCGACAGAGTGAGACTTGGTCTCAAAAAAGAAAAAACCAAAAAGAAGTTGGTATGGATTTGAGAGCTGTATTGTTAAGGCACCAACAGCATCTACTATAGATATCATTGAGGGATGGGATTCAAAGAGTACAGTAGACACGGTGGCTCACGCCTGTAATCCCAGCACTTTGGGAGGCTGAGGTGGGTGGATCACCTGAGATTGGGAGTTCGAGACCAGCCTGACCAACATGGAGAAACCCCGTCTCTACTAAAAATATAAAATTAGCCTGGCATGCTGGTACATGCCTGTAATCCCAGCTACTCAGGAGGCTGAGGCAGGAGAATCGCTTGAACCTGGGAGGCGGAGGTTGCCGTGAGCCAAGATCGCGCCATTGCACTTCAGCCTGGGCAACAAGAGTGAAACTCCATCTCAAAAAAGAAAGAAAGAAAGTATGTAGAAAACGTAGTTGGAGAAAATAGAGTTTTCTTTTTTCCACATGCACTGGATTGAATGAAAATAGAGTTTTCAAAACTCCTCTGCCTTGTACTCCCTAATGAACTGACAATATACATGAATTAAACTGTGAGTGGCTTAATAGCTGGAGAGAAGCTACATGTATAGGCAGAATTGAACACACACTTGTTATAACAGAAGCGCCCAACACACAACAGTGAAATTCACTCACAGAAAATCTTTGAGGTGAGAAAGTGAATTGTTCTTTTAAACCTACCACTTTTGCTGACTGGCATCAAAAATGCGAAAACAAGTGGTAATGGAACCACGAGTAATTATTTTTCTTTCTTTCTGCATGGTTATAATGATATTTGAGAGTTAAACAATGCTCCTAAAATTCATTCCTTTTTTGTTCACTTTAAAAAAATGCCCCCATCTTTAACTTTAGGGACAGAAGTCACGGATTTTTCTAACAACCTCAGAAACTCAGTATGATGCCCCTTTGAAAATAATGGAAAGTTTGTGCTCAGCTCCTTCAGTTTCTGCAGCAAGACAGCAAATGAGACTCATGAGAACTTCCCTAGACTGAGTCATTTGTAAAAGAAAGAGGTTTAATTTACTCACAGCTCTGCATGGCTGGCAAGGCCTCAGCAAACTTACAATCACAGCAGAAGGGAAAGCAAGCAGGTCTTACATGGCAGCAGGTGAGGCGGGGAACAGGGGTGGGGAGAGGAAGAAGTACATGTAAACACAGAAAAAACTACTATTTATAAAACCATCAACTCTCGTGAGAACTCACTCACTATCATGAAAACACCATATAAACAGTGTGGGGGAGCTGCCCCCATAACCCAGTCACCTCCTACCAGGTCTTCCCGTTAACACCTGGGCATTACAATTCAAGATGAAATTTGGGTGGGAACACAAAGTCTAATCATAACAGATCTGTTTTCAGATATATATAATGTTGAATTATATCTGTTCTTAAAGTAATAGTAGGAAATGTCCAAAATATTAATAATTTTTGTTCATAACCGAGGGATAGGTTTATACTTGATTTTTACATTTACTTTTTATTTATCTGTAGTGCCTATATTGTCCACAATAAACATGTATTATATATTTATATTTTTGGTAAGAAACAAAGGTTTTTCTAAAAGTGGGGAGTGAGACTCAACCCCAGAATTTCCCACCAAAACACTATTGAATTTGTTTTCATGAGAATTAAACATTTCTTGAGTTAAAAGACACCAAAAATGAACTTAGCAGCAGATGAACTGAGAAAAATATTTACAATGTGCAGAGCAGAAAAGGAGTTTTATTTTTCTAAAAAAATTTTATTTATTTATTTTGAGACATAATAATATGTCACTTTGTCACCCAGGCTGCAGTGCAGTGGTGTGATCTTGCCTCAGTGCAGCCTTGACCTCCTGGGCTCAAGTGATCCTCTCACCTCAGCCCCCACAAGTATCGGGGACTACAAATCGGCGCACCACCACACCTGGCTAATTATTTGTATTTTTTGTAGAGACAGATTTTTGCTTTGTTGCCCAGGCTGGTCTCAAACTTCTGGGCTCAAGCAATCCACCCACCTCGACCTCCCCAAAGTGCTAGGATTACAGACGTGAGCCACCATGCTTGGCCAGAAAAAGAATTTTAATCATTATATATACATATATTTATAGTCAATAGAAAAAGTCAGTAAGAAAAAGAAAAACAATCAATAGAAAATTGGGCAAAAGATAACAGCAATTTACAGAAGTTGAAGAAAAAAGTTCAATAAACATATGAAAATATTTTAATCTCATTAAAAATGAAGGAAATAGAGGTCAAAACCATTAATAAAATATTTTTTGCAAAAAAACCTTTTTGCCTTTCGCTTTAGAAAATACCTTAAAAATCAGTAACAGAATTTGCAAGGATGGCTATTCTTGCTAATAGTGCCAACATCTACGTGCACATATACTGTTGGTGGAACTGAAAACTGGCGGAGCCCTTTCTGAAAAGCGCTTAGTGGTATATGTCAATACTTTAGGTATGCATGCCCTGTGACACAGTGGTTCCAATTTCAAGTATCTAGGCCAGAGAAGTATTTGCCCGTGCGCACAAAGAGGCGTGTACAAGAAGAGGCATGAGTCATAAAACACTGGAAACAGAAAAAGTGTCTAGCATGGAAGAATGGTTATATAAACCATGATTCATCTATTAGAAAGCCACACAACACCTAAAACGACTAGAAAGAGCTATACGTGATGACGTGACAAGATAGAGCACCATAGCTCAGGGAACCACTCAGGGCCTGTCTAGATTCTAATCATGGTTCTGAAACTTGCTGTCTGTCAGACCTTGGAGAAGTCACTTAGAGCTCTTTAGGCTGGTTGGGCATACAGCATAGTGGTTTACGCCTGTAATCCCAGCACTTTGGGAGGCTGAGGCGGGTGGATCACCTGAGGTCAGGAGTTAGAGACTAGCCTGACCAACATGAAGAAACCTGTCTCTACTAAAAATACAAAATTAGCTGGGCGTGGTGGCGCATGCCTGTAGCTACTCCGGAGGCTGAGGCAGGTGAATTGCTTGAACCTGGGAGGCGGAGGTTGTAGTGAGTTGAGATCCTGCCACTGCACTCCAGCCTGGGCGACAGAGTGAGACTCTGTCTCAAAAACAAAAAAAACCTTCAATAGAAACAAAAATAATAATCATTATGATATGATACCCATGTATTAACCACTCAGATTTAATGGATTAAAACATTTTTACACGATAGATTCTGGTGTGATTTTTTAAAAAGTTTTTTATTTTATTAATTAATTTATTTATTTTTGAGACGGAGTTTCACTCTTGTTACCCAGGCTGGAGTGCAATGGCGCGATCTCAGCTCACCACAACCTCCGCCTCCTGGGTTCAGGCAATTCTCCTACCTCAGCCTCCAGAGTAGCTGGGACTACAGGCATGCGCCACCATGCCCAGCTAATTTTTTGTGTTTTTAGTAGAGACGGGGTTTCATCATGTTGACCAGAATGGTCTCGATCTCTTGACCTCGTGACCTCTTTACTTTATACAGAAGTAAATTTGGCTAGGTGTGGTGGCTCATGCCCGTAATCCCAACACTTTCGAAGGTGGAGGTGGGTAGATCACTTGAGTTCAGGAGTTTGAGGCCAGCCAACATCAAGAAACACTGTGTCTCCTAAAAATACAAAAAATTATCTGGGCATGGTGGTACACACCTGTAATTCCAGCTACTCAGGAGGCTGAGGCATGAAAATTGCTTGAACCTAGGAGGCAGAGGTGGCAGCGAGCCGAGATCATGTCACTGTACTCCAGCCTGGGCAACAGAGCAAGACTCTGCCCAAAAAAAATTGATTAAATTAAATTAAAATAAATAAATACCTGCTTTTAAAAAGTGAGCGAATTGAGATTATGCACATATCAACTTTACTAAGTACTGCAAAATCACTCTCTATTGTAATTATTCTAATTTTTCACTCCCACAGATTGAGTACAAAAGCTCGTTTCTGGTTCTCCTTCACCACAGTTAGTGTTACCAGGATTGAAAAAGTTGCCAACCTAATGGCTCTGAAATTGTGTCTCGTTGTTATTTTAATTTGCATTTCCCTGCTCTATACTTTTCTATGCCTCATAATCTCCAACGGTGACACTGAAATCATGGCAAAGCTTCTATTATCACGAAGCACATATTAATGCTGCTAATGTTCACAGAATCAATGGCCATTACAAGATGTGCCTTTAGTTGATTGCTCATACCTCAAACTCCTTGAGTTTTCCATACATACAGCTCAAGAATGCCAGATGACGTGCTGGGTGATTTTACGAAGGAACGTTTGCCAATCTGTTTCATGAGAAAACGACTCAAAATGGTATTGGTTTCCTGTGTTTTCTTGTCACTTTTGAAGAATCTTGTTGAAATGCAAGTCACTTATGGAATGAGCTCCAAGATCTTTTTTTTTTTCCCACATGAAAAAGGGAAGATAGGAAAAAGCAGGTGTTCGAAAGTTTGTGTTTGCTTAAAATTTAAAAATATATAAAATGCTTATGAGTGTGTGCCTCTGGGGAGGTAACATAATTTCAGACTTACTTGAAGTAGATTTAGTTTTCATATAGAATGCTTGAAAACTTTTCACTTTTGTTTGTTTTATCACCTCCAAATAGACTAACAAACCAAAGAATATGATCTGATTAAAACACAACTTGTGACTTTTTTTTAATCCCAAAGTCTTTTGTTTTAACTTGACATTAAGTGGATAATTAAATACTGTTTTGGTCCACTGGGGCTGTTATAACAGAATATCATAGCCTGGCTGGCTTATAAACAACAGACATCTATTTCTCACAGTTCTCATAGCTGTGAAGTTCAAGATCAAAGCCATAGCAGATTCATTCAGCCTCTAGTGAGGGCTGACTTCCCGCTTCGTAAATGGCTGTCTCTTGCTATAGTCTTGCATAGTGGAAGGAGGGGACAGGTGAACTCTCTGGGATCTCTCTTTTTTTTTTTTTTTTTTTTTTTTTTTTTTTGAGACTGAGTATCGCTCTATCGCCAGGTGGAATGCAGTGGCGCGATGCCGACACACTGCAATTTCCTTTTTCTGGTTTCAAGCAATTCTCCTGCCTCAGCCTCCCGAGTAGCTGGCACTACAGGCACGCACTACCACACCTGGCTAATTTTTTGTATTTTTAGTAGAGATGGGGTTTCACCATGTTGGCCAAGATGGTCTCAATCTCTTGACCTCGTGATCTGCCCACCTCGGCCTCCCAAAGTGCTGGGATTCCAGGCATGAGACACCGCGCCCGGCCTGGGGTCTCTTTTATGAGGACACTAATCCATGAGGGCTCCACCCTCATGGTCTAATCATCTCCCAAAGGCCCCAGTTCCTAGTCCATTGAACTGGGGATTAGGCTTTAATGTCTGAATTTTGGGGGGACGTGAACATTCACTCCATAGAAAACACAGACCTACATGAAAAAGAAATTTCTAAAACTGTGAAGAAAAAGTCAACATTTTGACTTTCTTTTTCACCATCAGATTTTTTTTTTTACAATAAACAATACACACTCTTCTTTCCGTTTGAAAGTCATCCTACTTGGCTGGAGATGGTAGCTCATGCCTTTAATCCCAGCACTTTGGGAGGCCGAGGCGGGTGGATTATTTGAGGTCAGGAGTTCGAGATCAGCCTGGCCAACATGGTGAAACCCCGTCTCTACTAAAAATAAAAAAAAAATTAGCCGGGCATGCTGGTGGGTGCCTGTAATCCCAGCTACTCAGGAGGCTAAGGCAGGAGAATCTGAGCCCAGGAGGCAGAGGTTACAGTGAGCTGAAATCGAGCCACTGCACTCCAGTCTGGGTGACAGAGTGAGACCCTGTCTCAAAAAAACACAACTAAAAAAGAAGTCCTTATAAATAGAGTCCAGTTTAAGCTGGGCACGGTAGCTCACGCCTGTAATCCCAGCACTTTGGGAGGCTGAGGCGGGTGGATACGAGGTCAAGAGATCCAGACCATCCTGGTCAACATGGTGAAACCCTGTCTCTACTAAAAAAATACAAAAAAAATTAGCTGGGCATGGTGGCGCTTGCCTGTAATCCCAGCTACTCAGGAGGCTGAGGCAGGAGAATTGCCTGAACCCAGGAGGCGGAGGTTGCGGTGAGCCGAGATCGTGCCATTGCACTCCAGCCTGGGTAACAAGAGCGAAACTCCGTCTCAAAAAAATAAAAAAATTAAAAAAAATAAATAAAAGGCCGGGCGCGGTGGCTCAAGCCTGTAATCCCAGCACTTTGGGAGGCCGAGGCGGGTGGATCACGAGGTTGATAGATCGAGACCATCCTGGTCAACATGGTGAAACCCCGTCTCTACTAAAGATACAAAAAATTAGCTGGGCATGGTGGCGCGTGCCTGTAATCCCAGCTACTCAGGAGGCTGAGACAGGAGAATTGCCTGAACCCAGGAGGCGGAGGTTGCGGTGAGCCGAGGTCGCGCCATTGCACTCCAGCCTGGGTAACAAGAGCGAAACTCCGTCTCAAAAAAAAAAAAAAAAATAGAGTCCAGTTTAAAACCCTAGAAAAGCAGGACAAACAGTTGTCAAACTGTCGCAAAATTGCTTAGAAAACTTTAGGCCAGTCTCATGTTTTTATTTCAAGGAGGTTGTGAAATTTACTTTTCCATCTATAAAACAGACAGCAGTGTAACTGTGCTATGTTGACATCTATTTTTTATCTAGAAAAAATATTCCATGTGCATTCCTCCCATATGAGCAAACACATTTACCTAGGAAGATAGCAGGTGATTTTGTAATGCTCAGGTTCCATATGCAGGATCACTTTATCCTCTGCTGTTCTTCCAATAACTCCCTCCGCGGTGCCATCAGTGCTTTGCGTTGGTCCCTGGGGAAGAGACACTGCTTTCTGGATGAGAAAATGTTTCTCAGGGAGCAAAGCTACTAAGCAGATCAGTCAAATTCTTTTCCCTGTGGATTCAAATACACAATTCCTACCTACCAAGTTTTTTTTGTTGTTTTTTTTTGAGACAGAGTCTCACGCTGTCACCCAGGCTGGAGTGCAGTGGCGTGATCTCAGCTCACTGCAACCTCTGCCTCCAGGGTTCAAGTGATTCTCCTGCCTCAGCCTCCCAAGTAGGTAGGACTACAGATGCCTGCCACCACAGTCAGCTAATTTTTATTTTTACAAAGGCAGGAGGATCATGTGAGCCTGGGAGTTCAAGACCAGCCTAGGCAACCTAGTAAGTCCTTGTCTAGATGGGGTTTTGCCATGTTGACCAGGCTGGTCTTGAACTCCTGACCTCAAGTAATGCACCCACCTTGGCCTCCCAAAGTGTTGGGATTATAGGCACAAGCCACAGCGCTCAGACCTAATTTTTTTTTTTTTTTGGACGGAGTTTCGCTCTTGTTACCTAGGGTGGAGTGCCACGCAATCTCAGCTCACCAAAACCTCCGCCTCCTGGGTTCAGGCAATTCTCCTGCCTCAGCCTCCTGAGTAGCTGGGATTACAGGCACGTGCCACCATGCCCAGCAAATTTTTTGTATTTTTAGTAGACACGGAGTTTCACCGTGTTGACCAGGATGGTCTCGATCTCTTGATTTTGTGATCCACCCGCCTCGGCCTTCCAAAATGCTGGGATTATAGGCTTGAGCCACCGTGCCTAGCCTAATTTTTTATTTTTAGTAGAGACAGGAGCTTCACTGTGTTGTCCAGGCTGGTCTCGAATTCCTGACCACAAGTGATCCACTCACCTTGGCCTCCCAAAGTGCTGGGATTACAGGCGTGAGCCACCATGCCCGGGCTGAATTATTAATTTTATCTAATTTTAATTAATTTAAATTTAAATGTACATCACCACATGTGGCTATAGCTATTGCACGAGACAGTGTACACTCAAGACTTTGGCCAGGCACAGTGGCTCACACCTGTAATTCCAGCACTTTGGGAGGCAAAAGCAGGAGGATCACTTGAGCCTGGGAGTTCAAGACCAGCCTAGGCAACCTAGTGAGATCCTGGTCTCTATAAGAAATTGAAAGAATTAGTTGGGCATGGTGATGAACATCTGCAGTCCCAGCTACTTGGAAGGCCAAGGTGAGAGGATCACTTGAGCCCAGGAGGTGAGAGGATCACTTGAGCCCAGGAGGTGAGAGGATCACTTGAGCCCAGGAGGTCAAGGCTGCAGTGAGCCATGATCACAGCACTGCACTCCAGCCTGGATGACAGAGTGAGAACCTGTCTCTAAACAAAACAAAACAAACAAAACAAATATTGCTTAACACATAGTGAGCATTCAACAAGCATTAGCTAAGTGTCAAATTGCTACAGCCAGAGTGGGAAAAGGAAACTCAACCCAGAAGTCAAAGAAAATGAGAAAACCAGTTGAGCACAGTGGCTTACACCTGTAATCCCAGCACTTTAGGGCGCTGAGGCAGGCAGATCACGAGGTCAGGAGTTTGAGACCAGCCTGGCCAAAACCTGTCCTTACTAAAAATGCAAAAAATTAGCAGGGCATGGTGGCATGCACCTGTAATTCCAGCTACTTTGGAGGCAAAGGCAGGAGAATCGCTTGAACCCAGGAGGTGGAGGTTGTGGTAAGCAGAGATCATGCCTTTACACTCCAGCCTGGGTGACAGAGCAAGACTCCGTCTCAGAAAAGAAAAAAAAAAAGAAAGAAAGAAAATGAGAAAATGTCTACACGTGGAGGAATGACCTCCCACAGAGCATTGCCCACCTTCACTTTGCCTTCAGGTAACAGCTTCGAAGAGAAGATATGCAACCATCTAAAAGAAACACTGGGGACACTTTGTTCCTCTTAGCCACCTTTGCCTGGGTAGAAAGTCACTCCTCACATAGAAAGACTTGGCCATGGACAGCAGCCCAGGTAGGAGGCACGTGGGTATGCACTCACCTCACTTTCCAGTTCAGCCCTGGTTCCCTTTACACCCTGGCTGCCCCATGTCTCATGCTGAGCCCACCGCCTATCCTTGCCTGCCCGGGACTTCATCCTCCTTCCCTCCAGATCTTCCGTGTCCAATCAGTAACTGCACTAGTTTCCTAGGACTGCCATAACAAAGCATTGCAACCTGAGTGGCTTCTCTGACAATTCTGGAGACCAAAAGTCAAAGTATAGGCAGGACTGTGCTCTCTGAATGCTCAAGGGTGAGAATCTATTCCATGTTTTTCTCTTAGCTTCTGGGCATTCCTGGGTTCTTACGTGCATTGCTCCAATCTCTATCCTTTCCATTACAACAGGGCACTCTCCTTGTGTGTCTGTGTTTCCTGTTGTGTCTGTGTGTCTTGTCTCCTTTTTTTTTTTTTTTTTTTTTTTTTTTGAGACAGGTTCTCACTCTGTTGCCCAGGCTGAAGTATAGTGATAAGAACTTGGCTCACTTCAACCTCTGCCTCCTGGGCTCAAGCGATCTTTCCACCTCAGCCTTCTGAGTAGCTGGGACTACAGGTGCTTGCCACCACGTCTGGCTAATTTTTGTATTTTTAGTAGAGATGGGGTTTCACCATGTTGCCCAGGCTGATCTTGAACTCCTGAGCTCAAGCGATCCACCCACCTCAGCCTCCCAAAGTACTGGAATTACAGGCATGAGCCACCGCACCTGACCTCTTCTCTTCTTACAAAGATACCAGTCATACTGAACTAGGGCCCGTTTGCTCCAGTATGACCTCATCTTAACCTGAGTGCATCTGCAGAGACCCTATTTCCAAATAAGTTCACATTCACAGGTACCAGGCGTTGAGACCTTAACATATCTGCCTGAGGGACACAGTTAGCCCACAGCAGTCACCATTCCCTTGTGGGCCTATTTTTTGCTGGGTGGCAGCTACTTTATCTGTCCCAGTTTTGAGGAGGACACTTGTCATTCTGTGTGTCTGGTATCCTTCTGAGAATAACTGAGCTGCTGCTAACACGAAGATGGTTTAGGGCAAATATGTTTAAAAGGCACTCCCTTTGGGTAGAGAAATTGCAAAATTCGTACTCACTCCATGTGATGGATTACAAACGGTTTGCACTCTCCCTTTCCTGCTTATGCAAGGAATGTGCTGCACTCCTCCTCCTTCCCTTTGTGTCTGCACTGATTAGAATTGGGTTTTGTCTCTTGCACCCAAAGAATTCTGACTGACACGGATGGGACTGGGTGCCATGAATTAATGCGTTGCCTCTCATAACTAATTTCCTGGAGGTAATCCATACACCTGAATGGAGACTGGAGCACTGTGACCAGCAGTGCCGCTTGATGGCTTTGGCAGTTAGGGATCTCCGTGCCCCCCTAGGTCCAGTGTGGGTTGCTCCCTGTTAGACCTGCAGCAGGTGCTCCTGTTACCCACCATGTCCCCTCACTCTGACCTCTCTATCAGGCGGGACCCTATTCAAGTAGAGGCCCCTACCTCCTCCAAGAGGAAGCCAGTTGCTCAAGGTCTTCCTCTTGCTGCCAGAGCCCACTTTCCCCACCCATGTGGCAGGCCACAGTGTCCAGGACTTGGCACCACACTGGAAGGAACCTTTGCTTCCTGACTGATGGGAGGCAGTGTGTTCAACGCCTCAGCTCCCTTTCCCCGCAGGGCAGCATGCAGAGGTGTGTTCCACACTGGCTCCCAGGGGTCCCCTGAGGACAAATGCTGCTCAGCTCCCTTTCTCCCTAGTACCTTAATTAGCTAATCTCTGCCTCAGCCTCCCCCGCTCCGCTTCCCTTTCCCCTCTTCCCCACTGGTGTTTCCTGGAGTTGCCTCCCACATAAGCTATTTGCATAAGAATCCTTGTCTCAGAGTCAGCTTCTAGGGCTTTCCACCTTAAAATAAGATCTATGCCCAGGGTCATCACATGAAGACCCAAGTCAGCCACTGACTGGCCAGACAGGGGTTACCCACTCTGGTTCTACGTTTCTGTCTGGAAAGAGGTAGGCAGTCACGCTAAAGGGGGACTTCTGTGCTGTTAGAGGGGCTGATTTGATCACTGATTTTTTTTTTTTTTTTTTTAAAGAAAGATTTTTTTTCCCTCTGAATATAAAAGTAAAACATGACAATCATAATTTAGAAAAATAGAAAAATGGTCGGGCGTGGTGGCTCACACCTGTAATCCCAGCACTTTAGGAGGCTGAGGTGGGCTTATCAAGAGGTCAAGAGATTGAGACCATCCTGGCAAACATGATGTAACCCTGACTCTACCAAAAATACAAAAAAATTAGCCAGGTGTGGTTGCACATGCCTGTAGTCCCAGCTACTTGGGGGGCTGAGGCAGGAGAATTGCTTGAACCTGGAAGGCGGAGGTTGCAGTGAGCCAAGATCACGCCACTGCATACCAGCCTGGCGACAGATTGAGACTTTGTCTCAAATAAAAAGAAAAACAAAAATAAATTTAGGCCCTGGCTCAGTAGCTAACGCCTGTAATCTCAGCACTTTGGGAGGCCAAGGCGGGCAGATCACTTGAGGCCAGGAGTTTGAGACCAGCCTGGCCAACATGGAGAAACCCTGTCTCTACTAAAAATACAAAAATCAGCTGGGTGTCATGGCGCATATTTGTAATCCCAGCCACTCAAGAGACTGAGGCACAAGAATCACTTGAACCGGGGAGGCAGAAGTTGCAGTGAGCTGAGGTTGTACCACTGCACTCCAGCCTGGGTGACAGAGAGACTCCATCTAAAAAAAAAAAAAAAGAAAAGAAAAATCAATTTTAAAAAGTTAAAATTACCCAAATTCCACCACTCAAGGATACTTCCTTTGAAAATAGAGGGCACAGGGTAGCCCCTCAAACCCTAACATACTGTGTGTGGGTTTTTAAAAATTTTTTTGTTTTGTTTGTTTGTTTGTTTTTGAGATACAGTCTCGCTCTGTCACCCAGTCTGGAGTTCCGTGGCACAATCTTGGCTCACTGAAAC